GGGGGGGGGGGGGGGGGGGCGGGGCCGCCGCGGATTTTTCTTAATGGAGCGGCGGCGGCGGGGCCTCGGCGCATGCGCGCGGGGCGCCGATATGTTGGGGGGGTCGCGGCGCGGAGCTTCCCCCGACGGCCGCCGAGGAAGAGGAGGACGAGGAGGAAGAGCCGGCGGAGAGAGGAGAGGAGGAGGAGGAGGAGGAGGAAAAAGAGGAGGAGGAGGAGGAGGAGGCGACGGCGGGAGCAGCGCGGCATGACATGACGGCGCCGCTCGGGCTCCCCCCGCGCTGGCCCGACGGCCTCGCCTGCCGCTGCGAGGACGCCCCGCGGGAGAAGAACCGCATGGAAGGGCTGGGGCACTGCCGGGAGATGATGCCCCACGCGGGGCTCGCCGTGCCCACCGCCCCGCCGCCGCCGCCGCCGCCGCCGCCGCAGGGAGCCGCGTACGCGGAGCTGGCGGCCGCCGAACCCCCCCGGCAGTGCCCGTCGGGGGCGGCTTCCAGCGCGGCGCTGGGCTACGGTTACCCCTTCGGGGGGGGCTACTACGGCTGCAGGTTGTCCCACTCCCACGGAGTCAACTTGCAGCAGAAACCCTGCGCTTACCACCCCGGCGAGAAGTACCCCGAGGCCGGCGGGCCCCTGCCCGGCGAGGAGCTGCCGTCGAGGGCCAAGGAATTCGCCTTTTATCCCGGTTTTCCCGGCTCCTACCAGGCGGTCCCTGGCTATTTGGACGTGTCGGTGGTGCCGGGGCTCGGGGGTCACCCGGAACCGAGACACGACGCTTTGCTTCCCATGGAAGGTTACCAGCACTGGGCTCTTTCTAATGGCTGGGATGGGCAAGTGTACTGCTCCAAAGAGCAATCGCAGTCCGCACACCTCTGGAAATCACCTTTCCCAGGTAGGATCCTCCGGGAAGTGGCGTGCTCGCCTGTTCCCCACCGCCGGCTCCCCCGCGGAGGGGTGGATGTGAGTGTGAGTGGATGAGCGTGCACGTATATCTCTATATACGCACACGGATAGATCCGTGTGTGCCTGTGTATGTAATTAAAGGGAAAGAAATGGCTCTGGAATGCCTCCCGTGCCGGGCAATGTGTATGAACATGTATGGAAAGAAGGTGAAGCAATCATTTCTGAATCAAAATACACGCCGTGAGCTTGCTTGGAAAGTAACTTCGCCGTTTAATTCCTTAATTCTTCCCTTTCTTCTTCTCCTCCCTCCTCTTGCCTCACCTAAGGAGAGTCTCTCGGTGCCTTCTCTTCATCTTTCCCTCTGCTTGCCGCACCTCCACATGCAGAAAGCTTTAAAAGGGGAAAATAATAATAATAATAATAATAATAATAATAATAATAAACCCATCTCGAATGGTTCGGTCGAATGAGAATTGTCGGGGGCTGGGACAGTAAATCATATCGCAATTACACACAATTATAGGAATAGGTGTCAAGTGACAAATGAATCTGTTCGGAGAGAAGGAGGGAGGCAGAGGGGTGGGGGACCGGCGGGGCATCCTGCCCGCCTGACAGCCCCGCGGGCGGCCGGGAAGGCAAAACCTCTCCTTGGAGCATCTTTTAACCCAGTAAATCCCTCGTTCCCTTCCCCCCCCCC